AACCAGTGTTCCTCCTTGTGGATGATTTCAGCTTGAGCACACTTGATGTAATGTTGATGAGTCCAAACATGCTCTGCTATTTCTGATTTTTTGCTTTCTCCTCGCTGAGTGAGTTTCTTGTGCTAGACAATGCGAACTTTCAATGACCTCTGCAATCCTCGGAATCGCAGTCCGCGTTAGGTGGCCTGGTTTTCGTGAGACTGCTACGGATAATGTTCCCAGATCTGAAGCAGGTTCTGATGTTTTACTTAGACCCAATCCTTCTTATCCTTTCCGAAAATTCTCTGATGTAGGAAAGTACAAGTACTGGTTATGGCGGCTTCTCTTCCTTGTGAAGCACTTGCTGTGCTAAAGCCTGTTCCACCATCATTTTGGAATAGCCATTTCATTAAAGGTCATTTTTAATGATGCCTAGTTCTTTTTCGAGACCTCACTTTGTATTACAGCACGGTCCAGTAGAGTCTTGATGATTTCTCTCTTAGTCGATTGATGGTGATTGGATTCCTAATTCAGAGACTGTCCCGTGTGAGTGGGTTTTCGGTATAGAGATGTTTCCCATTTAGTGTCGTTCCTATTCAACAATACGTCTAAGAATGGCAATTCGTTGTGGACTTCTTTTTTCACTGTGAATGTGATGGAAGGACTTACGTTGTTGATGTGCTTCAGGGAAGTGTCTAGTTCTGCATTCCCATGGTTTCATATTATGAAGATGTCCACGTATCTCAAGCAGACTCGGGGCTTCTTGTGGTCTCTGTTATACAAAGAAAAGTTTCGAAAAGGAACTAGGTATAATCAAAAATTACCTTCATTGGAATGGTTACTCCAAAGTGATGGTGGATCAGACTTTAGCTAGAAGACAGCAAGAGCCTCACATGAAAGAGAAGCCGCCACAACCAGTACTTGAACTCCTCTACATCAGAGGAAAGGATAAGAAAAATTGGGTCCACCTATAACATCAAAACCTGCTTCAGTTCTGGGAATAGTATTCGCCTCACGAAAACCAGGCCAGAAAACGCGGACTGCGATTCCAAGAATTGCATTTATCGGATATTCTGCGAGTGCGGAGAATCATACATCGCTGAAACTAAGAGACCATTGTTCGCTTCTATAGAATTGCATTGTCGAGCACAAGAAACATACATAGCGAGGAGAAACCAGCAAATCAGGAATAGCAGAGCATGTTTGGGCTCATCAATATAACATCAAGTGAGCTCAAGATGAAAAAATCCACAAGGAGGAACACTGGTTTAGGAGAAAATTCAAAGAAGCCGCATATATTTTGCCCAACATGTTGTCCATATGTTGCGTAGAGATATGCAACATTTTGAAACCTATAAACAACGGAACACGACCAACTCCCGCCAAAACCGATAAAGCAGAGAGAGGGAATAGGTGAAAGCACTTGAATGACCTATAAATAGTCAGATTTTGGAGAAATGAGTCTAGTTATCACCCTAAGACGATTGTAGATAGTAGATATTTTATGAACAACTCACAAAACACGCATATCTGTCTTATCGCAGAAATACAATTCATTCTGGTGCAGATATATAGTGATTCTCGTGAGTTTTGACGGTTGGACGAGACAAATAAATCAGTGAATCAGGAATAAAATCGTATTTGTTTATGCAGTTCCAATAAATAGATCAGTTCCTGAATTTCCCCAACACTCTCCACCTAAAGAGGAATGGCCTACCGAGGGAACTATTCGGAAGCGAGTGACCAAATTTCGGACCCAGTTCACATTATTGGACATCAAACCACCAACACGCACACGTAGAGTGAGGACCGAAGAGAATATTGCGGCTGTATCCGCCAGTGTTCGTGATGACCGTGAAATGTCGATTCGCCGCCGCTCGCAACAATTGGGCCTCTGTTACTCCACTACGCGGAAAATTTTGCATTACATTATTGGACATCAAACCACCAACACGCACACGTAGAGTGAGGACCGAAGAAAATATTGCGGCTGTATCCGCCAGTGTTCGTGATAACCGTGAAATGTCGATTCGCCGCCGCTCGCAACAATTGGGCCTCTGTTACTCCATTACGCGGAAAATTTTGCGGAAGGATTTGGGTGTTAAACCTCATAAGATACAGCTGGTGCAAGAATTAAAGCCACACGACCTCCCACAATATATAACATTTGGTGAATGGGAGCTGGCAAAGTTGAAGGAATATCCACATTTTTATCGAAAAATTGTGTTCAGCGACGAGGCTCATTTTCTTGTATGAAATTTGTTCTTCGGATGAATGTACGAGTACGGTTTGTTTGAATGGGCAGGTGAATCGGCAAAATTGTCGATATTGGAGTGATACGAATCCTCATTCATACCATCAAGTTCATACCCAACGACCTCAAAAACTGAATCTTTGGGCAGGAATTTTAGGTGACCACATCATAGGACCCTTTTTCATCGATGATAATTTGAATTGTGATGAATATTTGGATATACTGGAGAATCGAATAATACCGTGCAATAATAGGGAGATTGAGGAGGATATGACTTTATTCGAAAACAAAATAGTGTATTATGGAATTAGCCGATACTTGATGAAATTCCATAACTAACGTATTCTAAAAACACTTTATTGTGTGATTTTCACTAGACAGTTTTACCAAAACGCAACACATGTTTCGCCATACAATGGCTTCCTCTGGCGTGTCTTAATTTCATATTCCGCTGTCTGATAGGGATTTCCAGAAAGAGCTGAATTTGATCAAACAAATCGCGGTTATTAACGGTTATGAGGTACATATTATAAACGCCATTCTTTACAAAAAACTACAAAAGCAAGCCATGGACCGGGTCTATCCATATTCAAGATGCGATAACGTCAGTTATCGCGTTACTCTATTAGCACACACACAACTACTGTATTTTTGTCCACCCTGTACCAATTGGAATCAACATGTGATACATTTTTGGAATCAGCTCAGCTAGAGTAATCCGAAAATTGAGACAAAATGGGGGTGTTCCATTTAAAAAAAATGACGGTGACGTCATTACTCGAACGTAATTCACCCTGTATATTAGATTATTATTTTTAAATACGGTAAATTAACATCGAAAATCGACGTGTTTCAGCTAAAATGAATTTGTTCCATACTTTACGGACACAGTGTATAGTCAATTTCTCATTCCTCTTTGAAATTCTACTTATACGAATATTTTATATAAACTTTGTTTCAGCATTTACTTTCATACATTTCTACATTCATACATTTCAATATTTTTAATATTCATTCCATATATACTCTGTAATAATAGCATTTCCTGTAACCGGGTACTCCTATAGGAATTAAATCGCTTTTTTTATATTTGGTATAACGCAATCGTGAAACATGGAGAATCAAGAGCTGTTGCACTTGATATTTCTAAGGCCTTTGACCGTGTGTGGCATGAAGGTTTGCTGGCCATACTTCGATGCTATGGCTTGTTGGATCATTTTTGTGTCTGGCTGTTCACCTTTCTGAAAAACCGTTCCCTGCAAGTGATCCTCGATGAATATATCTCGAATACTTCCATCACACAGGGATCCATGTTGTCTCGAACCCTCTTTTCATTGTATATCAACGACTCATTGAAAAAAAACATGCTGACGACAGCATAGTTACCTCGTCATTCCATTTGGATTCCAGGACATTGGCTTCAGAGGTACATCTCAACCGGCAGCAGAAAGTTGCATATCTTAATGAGGATCTAGAAGTGATTTCGAATTGGGGTGAAAGTAACCAAGTTCCACTCAATGCCACAAAACCTAGGCATTGGTTTTTTCCAAGAAGATAAATGTCTTCAAACCGGGTATAATGTCAGGTCAGACAATTTCGCTTTCTGCTTCGATAACTTTGAAGGGTGTTGAAATGCACATCAATATGTCTTGGCACAATCATGTCGCTGGAATTGCAAACGCTTCTTTCCAAATGATTGGAATACTGTTTCGAACTAGAAAACTGTACACACCTCGGCAACTTTTGATACTTCATAGAGCTCAGATCGGACCTTCTTTGGAGTATTGTTCTCATGTGAGGAGCTCCGTTCCCAAACCTTGAAGCCGCTTGATTTCGCCTGATCGGAGACGCGAACATCAGGTGTAACCTTGGTAGCCTGGAACATCAACATATCTAAAACCACGCTGATGAAATTCACAATGAAAATTTTTTTATATATAAAAACGAAGATCGACAAATTGAATCTTGTGCAACCACCAAAATGCTAGGTTTAACTCTTGATTATAAACTTACTTGGACTCCTCACATAGATACTCTCTGTAATAAACTAATAAAAAACGGTTATGCTCTCAGGTTTATGGCTAATTTCTGTAGTGAAAAAGTCTTATTAAGTTTGTACTATGCGACTATAAACTGCCATTCAAGATACGGAATTTTGAATTGGGGTACAAGCTCTTCTGCTGAAAGAGTGTTTCTTCTCCAAAAAAGAGCCGCCAGAATTTCAGCTGGAATAGGGTGGAGAGACTCATGTAGAAACGTTTTAAAAAACCATGGAATACTTACAGTTGCCGGTTTGTAAATCTATGAGTTATGTAGTTATGTTTACATGAATAAACGTATATTTCTAATCCAGCAACATGGTTATATTACCCATTATAGAGATTTTCTGATGCCCAACAATCACAGAACGACTTTCTTCCAAAAAAGTTTCCTTTCATTTCTCTGACGTATTTCTTGTTATTGTATGAAGATATTGTGATTTTATACTCTTAAACAAGAAACCTAAATACTACTACTACTACTAGTAACGTCGAAGAAAGGTTGGAGATTTGTCTCTCTTCTATGTATACTTTCACGGGAAGTGTTAATATGGCTTGGTACATTTGATTCCACCAAGAGCCGGTACATATCAAAAATACGCGACGTACTATGGCTACTCATCGTTTAGCGGTTGAACTCAGCACACCTCGAACTTCACTGTTCAAGAATTCTCCCATCCGGAGAACTGCGTTTATGTGGAATAAACTTCCTGAGAACGTTTATCCAAATGGACGACAAGAAATATTCAGGAGAGGAGTTGGACACCGATGAGCCTAATGTAAGGAAATCGACGATATTTACCAAAAATTGCGTCAGCAGCACCAGCATTTTTTGACAGAAAAGTTTTGATCCTGATCCACGATAACGCTTGTCCACACCGTCCGAAAATCAAACAAATTGAACGTCGAAGTTCTGTCTCACCCACCATACTCCCCAGACCTTTCGCCAACAGACTGCCGTCTTTTCAAGTACTTCGATAACTTTCTCACTAGTATAATCAATACTTTTGACGCAACGTTATATGATTCAGAAGTTTCCTTTTGATTTTCAAGTAAAATGTTCAGCTGATGTAGCGATTTCTGTTTAAGAGATAATATGAAAAAAAATCAAATAGTATCGACTATGAGCAGTATAACATAGTGCATATGAAACATAAACTTCCACTTAGCAAGAAAAATTTTCTGAAACATCAGCCAGATGTGGTTCGAATTGAATGCCATTAAAATCGCATGATTTATCTAACGCTTGGAATACAGTGCAAATAATTCATTTCCGGCATATCCACATGTCCAGAATGTAAGAGCGAGCGTGACAAGAAAGTTTTCATTTCCATTTTCAAATATTCCGCGAGTTTTCCAGGAATATATTCATTCCCATTCATAATCCGGTTTCAACTTGGAAAACATACGTATACCGAGAGAGAGAGAGGTGCAAATAATGACTGACAATTATAAACGCGTACGTTGACTAATGAACCTCCTGAAAATTGACAAAGAGGAAAAGAAAATATGTACTCATGAAGAAGCAGAACTTTCAAGTTTTCATATAGTGATGACTAGTGGTTGCTCACGGCTTCACTCGCGTAGAATTTGGTTTGTCACATTGAGTTTCGACACAGATTATTCTAAACAATTAAGTACAATAATTTTTTATCAATCCAAAACTTCAGGTTTCCAACTTCAAAACTAACGAAATTCAATACAATCTTTGAACTCCTATTTTTCCTCCTTGGGGAGTGGAAATTCCTGATTTCCTTTATTGATGCCTATTTACGTTATACAAAGAACCTAATGAGTATCTTTTTCGCAACACTGTTTTTGACAGATTACGCGTGAATCGTGTCTTGTGTCATTGTCAAACTTGTTCAGTTTGGCCTATAATTTAACCATGATTCGACTTACGAATGAACAATGCTTGCAAATCATTGAATTTTATTATCAAAATTCATGTTCGGTGAAGAAAATGCATCGTGCACTTCTTCCAATTTATGGGCAGTTTCGTCGGCCTACCGAGGGAACTATTCGGAAGCGAGTGACCAAATTTCGGACCCAGTTCACATTATTGGACATCAAACCACCAACACGCACACGTAGAGTGAGGACCGAAGAGAATATTGCGGCTGTATCCGCCAGTGTTCGTGATGACCGTGAAATGTCGATTCGCCGCCGCTCGCAACAATTGGGCCTCTGTTACTCCACTACGCGGAAAATTTTGCGGAAGGATTTGAGTGTTAAACCTCATAAGATACAGCTGGTGCAAGAATTGAAGCCACACGACCTCCCACAATATATAACATTTGGTGAATGGGAGCTGGCAAAGTTGAAGGAATATCCACATTTTTATCGAAAAATTGTGTTCAGCGACGAGGCTCATTTTCTTGTATGAAATTTGTTCTTCGGATGAATGTACGAGTACGGTTTGTTTGAATGGGCAGGTGAATCGGCAAAATTGTCGATATTGGAGTGATACGAATCCTCATTCATACCATCAAGTTCATACCCAACGACCTCAAAAACTGAATCTTTGGGCAGGAATTTTAGTTGACCACATCATAGGACCCTTTTTCATCGATGATAATTTGAATTGTGATGAATATTTGGATATACTGGAGAATCGANTAGAATCAACGACAATAGAATATTTGAAAGAGAATATCATGAGGCATTGCTGAGAAATAACTCCCGAGATTCTCAACCATGTAAAGGCGGCAATGAGAGCACATTTGTACCATTGTATGGAAGTTGGTGGAAACGTTTTTGAACACTTACTACAGAAAATGTTTTCCTTCTCATTGTCTATCAGATTTTGATTCAAGAAGTGATAAAAAATCTCTTTTTTTTTTCAAAACTTTTTTAGGTTGGCTCATTTTCAACTCAAATAATGTATAGCTCCTGAACCATAAAAAATTGGTGACATGCCCTGGGGGTGCGATAGGGGAAGTAACATCAAATGTGAATATTTCAAAATGTGTCCCCCTGTATACTATTGTTGACGGTTTTTTTATTTTCCTTGAAAATCATTGTACCAAAAGTTATTCAGGGTTGCCCGTTTTGTTTGGATATGATCATCTTAAAGGAATAGACATATACTATCACAGACTTTTCCATAGACCTGCGATAGAAAAACAATGAACAGTGATTCATTTTGTTGTATTTCAAATGAGGCAGCACTTTTGGTGAATCTTGCAGGAGAGCACCAACTCTCCGACTTCTCCCGCATAACATCGTCATATTTCAACAAATCCACACAAATTATTGATACACTTTAACATTAAAGTTTCTCTTGAGTTACTGTCTGTTGTAATCGGGGAGCCCAAGCACAGACTCCGGGATTTACTAAAGCGCGGCAGTATCAATATACAGGGGTATACCTTGTACCCGGTTAAGTACCTCCACCAAATATGAGCCCCATGTATAAGGCCGCCTGTGAGGGATAAAGGATCAGATTAGTAAAAAAAAATTGATCATTAGAAATTCTCGAGCGCGTCAGATTAAGGTAGGGTGAGTTGGTAACCTGCTGAAAAGTGTATATCTCAGTAATCTGACAATTTGACAGTGACGTAAAGAAAGGGGAGGGCAGCAAAATTGTGAAAAAATAACGACATTTTGACATTCTCGAGCGTTGATAATTTTCTTTATTTTGAAGGAAATAATTCAAGGATACCGAAAAATATATAATCTGACGATTTCCGCAAGCCGAAATAACAAAAATTCCCTTCTCCGAGTTTCTATTCCTCTATTCTCTATCAACTTTTTCTCTATCTATTACTATCTCACTCCGTCCCCACTCTGAATTCTGTTGTCATGACGCCATCACAGCTGACCACAGAGACTCGTTCGTGATGAAGATGATGGTTAATTAATCAATTAATTGATGGATGTAGCCGTTACTACGTGTTAGGAAATCATAATGAAGAAAAGAGAAATTGAACTTTCTATGTTTTTTACCACTTTTATTTGTAACTAACGTTACTGCAGTTTCGTCCTATAAGGACATTTTCAAACTTATATATT